ACCTTGGGCACAATGCTTCTCCCTTCCTTTCTTCTCTGTTCTTAGCCTATGCCTTCCAGCTTCCCTGGGCAGTGCCAATCCATGTACTTTAGACTTCAGTTCCTGGGGATGGCGGCATCTCTGTTAACTACAGAGCACCACCCCAGCTCAGACCCTGGGAAAGCAAGCAGGCTGCATTGATGCAAAAACTGCAGCTCAAGGATTAGGTGGGCAGTGGGCACATGACCTGGCTGATGTGTTGGGGAAGATCACCAAAATCGGCCCCGTGGGCACTGCTCTCTGGCCAGAACTTGCCCTGTGCTCCCTTTGGTTGTGTCCGTCTTGGTCTAGACACATACTGCACTGTGCAAACCCTGTAGCTTGGCTCCTCCGTTAGCTCTTTTGGCAAGATAGATCTTTCTGTTCCTATCAATTCATGAGCATGTGATGGGACTTGATGGAAACTGAGGTGAGGCTAGTAATTTGACACGACAGCTGATATTGGGCCTAGGCTGCATTTCCCACTGGCCAGGGCTTAGCTTCACAGAGCTTTTAAAAGTATTTTTAGTCCCCAGAAAATAAAAGAGAAACTAAACCTGACTCTGTGTGCTGTCGCCTCTGCATACTCGGCTATTTTTACTTCCGACAGACTCGGCCTGGGTCCAGCTTTTAAAAAAAGCTGGAATTATTTTACTTCCATTAAGAAAAAAACCCCAAAGCCTGATGTTATCAAGTCAGCAAGGGGACATCTGATCCCAAAGTTGTCAGGCAGACGTCTCTCCGAGGGGCATGTCAGAGAAATGCAGGGAGCTTGAACAGATCAGCAGATCAGGTCTCCCACTGCAGAGGCTTGGTGCTGGCACAGACCTATCTGAAAGAACGCTTGGAACACGAGTGGCACCCACAGGACACTTCGAAAACTGACATCCCTACCCCAGGCAGGATGCTGAGCCGAAAAGTCCTGCATAAGTTCTGGCTCTGCCCTCCTCCCTGCTAGGTCAGCGGAGGCTCAGACACACTGGGGAGCTGAGAGCCTGCTGCCAGCGAGCTGGGACTCAATCCCTATGGTGGACACTGGGGTCAGCTCCACACCTAGGTCAGACGGGGTGCCAGGACTCTTTACACAGGGTCCCTCGAAAGGTGACAAGATTCAGTAAACAGCACTTCCTTGAAACACAGGGGAATGGGAGGAGAGGGGATGTTTCTGTCACAGCCTTCATTTGTAAAGAATCGGCTGCCAGTAAGGTAAGTTATCAAGTGTTGGTACTTCCCAAACTTTGCCCTATACTATCGCATCTCACATGGTGTATGTAAGCCCTCCCTTCTTTACTGCTCTAGCAGAGCTTCCTTGCTGATACTCTCAAGAAGAGGGGTCCAGGAGTGCCTGTGGTGGTGACAGTTTTGTAGGATGAGTGCCTTCTCTTCTGGGAACTGCCCAGTTGTGATCCATGTGAGAAATGGGTTTGTGCAGGAGCTGGAAGACAACTGCTTTCTCTTGCTACTGTCTTCTTGTCAGGCTGTGACACCGAATGCTGTGTAAGAGTCTTCAGTGTGGACCAGCTGCATCTTGTAAGTGGCTGCTGCACCTTGCAGTTAAAGCTCAGGTGGATGCATGTTTGGTGTGAAATCTCCCTTGGGATTACAGTGAATGTACCACTCAGCCTCGTGCCAGCCCTCTCCCTCTCTCCCGCTTCCCCTCTCCCTGTCTCTCTCTCCCCCCTCTCTCATCTCCCTTCTCCTTACAGTCTCTCACTTCCATTCATATCTCAGTTTATATTCCCCTCCATTTCTTTTCTGCTCAGTGCTTGCCTTCATGCTGCTTCCCTGAGCTCACCCAGCGCACCTCCCTACTCCATTTGAATGTCCTTTAGTGTCCCTCTCAGAGCGGCATTGTAACCAGCCTGCTGAGGAAATCAAAGTAGAACAGCAGTTATTAACAAGCCACCTGAATACTACAGCTCAGTACCAGGTCGTGATTTTTGGCAGTGCTCTTTCTTTCCATCTAGATATGACCTATTAGGCTGACAGATCTTTGGGGAAGGGATTTTGCCAGGATGCTTATGTCTGCGAGTGTTGCAGTCAGGGACTCAGGTTGAAATGCTTTTGTTTGCTGTAGCACCTGCAGGTTGCTACACTCAGCAACTGGCGCTGGGATGAGCTACGTAGGGGTCAGCCTATTCTCCGGCTCTGCGGCTGGAGCGATGACGACAGGGTAGAATAGAGGCTCTGCAAATGCTGATTGCAAACATTTGCCTGAAGGAGTGTCTAACAGGATGGGGAACAAGAGGAGGACAAACACTTGTTCAAAATTAACAAGCCAAAGTCCTTGGGCAAACAGACCTCTATCTGCTCAGTGAGGGAAGGAGGGATGGAGGGTAAATCTCTCTGTGTCTCTCTTATCTTTTTTTAATGCACTTAAGTCCTTTGTGTCCTTATAATCTGATTGAGGGTCCCTAATACGGCTTCAACCTGTGCAGCCATCCTTCTGCCAAGCTCTGGAGGATGGCATGCTTCTCCTTGGGAGAAGGAAATGAGCTCCTTCCCCCATTTCCTCCCTACCTCTCCCAGTCCCCCCGCCCTGCTGCTTATCAGACTGCATGGTGAAAGCATCCTAGAGGGCTGTGTGTTGCTTTGTCTTGGGCTGAGAATGGTGTTTCTCTGCACCAGTGACATCCTGCCCACTGGCATGAGGGAATGGACTTCTCTATGACCCTTCTTCTGTGAGGGTCCTGGGGAGCTGTGATTCAGGCCTGAAGTCCTGCAGCCTGTTCTGCATTCCTCCATAATATTTGAACAGTGTATTCCTGACCCTTTCAATTTTCATACCTGGTTACTTGGTTTACTGGTAGTTCCTGAAATTTGTGTCTCCCCGTCCTCTCCTGGCATATAGGTAGATGTCATTCATTCAGCAGAGCATGGAATAGACATCTTTCTTAGGAAACGAGGACACATTTGTAGAGGAAAAGAAATCATGGACAGAAATGGAGGTTTCCTGCCGCATCCAGGACTTTATTAGTGCTGTTCCTCAGGGATCTCCCAAGATAATCTCAAGTTTGGGGTTCCCTGACTGTCCTTTGTGAAATTAAAAGACTCCCAGGAAGGAGGCTTGCCCACAGGCTACCTACTGCTGGGAATAGATGTAAACAAAACAATGGGCAACATTTTCAGAAACACTACCATGTAATGGAGGAGAAAGGTGGTACTTATGCTTAGGGATGTCAGTGAATTCTGCACACAGAGTCAGAAACAGAAAATGGGGCAGGGGAAGGAAAGTAATCACTGTGATCCGAGTTCACCTATTTGGCTTCATGTCTTTCTCTCCATCTTCAATGCCTGCCATCCTCCCAACTTGCAGCAGCAGTTCCTTTACTGTGGAGAGCTCCAGGCCTGCTCATTCCTGCTTCTCCTGCTCAGTGGGAGCAGCAGGACTCTTAAAAGCAAGCAGCTATACAGCATTAATAACATCATGCCTATGAGCCTCTGTCCCCACACACCATGGCTTACAGGTAATGCCACCGAGGCCTCCGTGTTGGTGTTGCTGCTGCCACAGATCTTGCTGTCGGACTGTGTAACCAAGCGCTGTTGGCCTGGTTGATGCTGGTTGTTCTTGCTGTTGGAGGGCTGTTGGTACTGTCTGTCAGTCAAGCTAGTTTGGGTGCTCCAGCAGTGAAGAGTATCAGGATCTAGATGTTGTGGCAAGTGACAGTTTCATTTGATGCAAGTGGGGCTTGTGTGAGCATTGCAGTAAAAATTTTCTCTTTCCCATGACATAATAAGCAAACGTGGCATTGAAATGCACAGTGTGATGCACATGTGCCTCTTTCTAGGGTAGAATATTTGTCAGCAGACTGCATGTTTTTCAGGTATACAAGTTGTTCAAAAAGCATCACTTCAAAATGGATTTAGAGTGTTTGCTTTTAGTTGTTTGTGTTTATGTAATGAATTGATTGCAAAATATTAATGGCTCAGTGTGATTAGTAAGTGTATCACATAATTGGTTCCTGTGATCAGACTGGATAAACTCATGTGTGTTTCTAAGGAAGTACTTGTACAGCATAAGTTCAAACTTTATTGTATTTGAATACTATTACATTTACCTTGAAAGATTTTTTTTTTTAATTGCAGTAGCTGTTTCTCCCAGCAAGACTGAGTTAACCCAGTTTCACAAGAACTGACTACCAGAGGCCATATGGCTGGCCAGAAATAACTGATAATTGGTCAAATATCTATGGCTTTTTTCACAATTTGGTTTTAACACTGTATTTTGTACTAATATAGCAGTTCAGCTGCTGTTCCTATTCTGTTGATGCTGCTATAGTTTTTTGCATGGTGACAGTCACTGGTGCTTCCCAGTCACTGGGAACTGTTTTCAGTGTAACATTTGCAGTTCAATTCACTGTATTTTGAAAGAGCTGCAACAAATTCTTCAGCGTCTCCCTACTTCAGCCTTATCATTGCTTTATTGTAGTAGAGGTTGTTTCTATTTATTTGGGTTCTACTTTTATTACAGTTGCCTTACTTGATCAAGGCTGAAACATCTTTGTTGAATTCATAGTTCATAATCTATTTGCTGTAGGTCACTTTTTTCAAATACAAACAGTGAAAGGTCACAGAACATTTAACTTCTCATTTTTAAGAACAATCTAAAAGCTTATTTTTATAACTGAAGGTTTGATTGACATTTAAAGTCTTTCTTTTTAAAAGCAAGATCATCTAGAGGTCATTGAGGTCTGAAGCTTTTCATTTGCCCATCAGATTGATGGTGATTCAAGAATTTGAATGGGTTAATTTCTGTCTTCATTAATGTTTTGAATAAAAGTAAAGCTCTCAGCAGCATGGTTAGAGCTGGAGGCAGTCTAGCTGGTATTATTGGGATTTCTGGGTTCAGCTGAGATCTCAAGTGTTTGGGAGAGTGAAGCTCCCTGGAGTGTGGAGAACGTCTTAGCAGATTTTAGCATCTGCATGTCAAGGGTCCCTGTGGCACTAAGGAATCATGAGGATTTATCTTGTTTTACCTGCAGGTGTTCGTCTGGATCGAGTCCGTGGAGGCCGTCAGAAATACAAGAGGAGACTGGATTCTGAGAGTAGCACTTATCTGAGCTTACAGATCCCTCCCCCAGCTAAAAAGCCACGTATGTATTGGTCTTGAATTGTGGTCCTCTGAGCAACCACTAAATTTGTTTTTATTGGTCCCCCAAAACGTACAATGGAGCAGTTGTCACTCCTGATTTTCGTACTAGTCACCAGCATTAAGACTTTTTTCTTATGATCATAGTGCAGAGGTAGATTAGGTACACCTGAGGTACAGCCCAGGTGCTGTACTCATTGTACCTAGGGTTAAATACCAGACCTTTCCTAGAAGATTATGTAAATCCATTTAGTGATATTCTGATCTTTTCCTGTATCCAAGCTATGCTAACAAAACTGGTACCATGCTGATTTCTCTCTTCTGTACTACCCATACTTCTCTAAACTTTTCCATATGCCACGAACTGATTATTTGTGCCTCCTCCTCCCCTTGTTGGACCTACCTGAGACAATGGCTCACAACCTTAGAGTAGCTTCCTGCTTTTTCATCCCTGTACAGAGTTGGTTTGGCATAGGCAGATCACTACTGCTTGCATAGCTGCAGTGTAGTCTTCTCCTGTTCTGACCAAAACCATTTCTGAAGTCCTGTGGGCTTTATAGTCATGTCTTATCCAGGAAGGTCCTTCTAGAAAGGACTGTTATGACACCTTATGTCACGAAAGAGACAACAACTTCTCCTTTGAAATGTGCAGTGACTAAGATCGTCTCCCATTTGCTGGTGGCTGAGCCAGAGAAGATTTATGCCATGCCTGATCCAACCATGCCGGAGAGTGACATCAAAGCCCTGACAACCCTCTGTGACCTGGCAGACAGGGAACTGGTGGTGATCATTGGCTGGGCGAAGCACATCCCAGGTAAATGGAGAATTACAAGGCTGTAAGCGTAAACAGCAAAGGGAGCTATTATTTATCACTGTGCTTATCAATTTTGTCTTCAAACAGGATTTTTACATATAGTGATGGGTGGAAATTACTGTCAAACTACTTGTGGTGGGCTCTCATTGGTAACAAACTCCCATACAGCCTACAGTGTAGGTGCATAAATTCATGATTGTATGTGTGTGTGCCCTGGGTTTATGCAGAAAGCTTTGAGATGATATGATAAAGTTCTCGGTTGTAGCTGGCATTGAGTGGAACAGTGAAAGTGTTTGGGAAACAGCCCTTGAGATGGTACGGTGGACTTTAGTGATTTTGCACTGCATCAACATGATCTCGATCTGTTGTGCTTATAGATGAATAAATGCTATGGCAGTGACTGGACTTTACTGCTGATGACAAGGCAGGTACCTACCCTGTCTGTAGTGGGCATTCTTGCCCAGAAAGCTTTTGTCATACTGGATTCATCACAGAACAAGTCCCATTAAGATGGAGGACATACTACTGCCAGTGAATCTCCAGGCTTCTATGCTGACAAATAATGAGGGCAATTTATTGACAATGTGACTGGCCTCGGAAGGTTCACTGACTATATCCAATGACTGCCTGTATGACTGAGTGACACAGCAAATATCTCACACCTACAGGTGGGATGGACCCAGGCTGAAGGAGCAGACATGGCTTCTGGGGACAAAGATTTAGACTGGGAAGGGAAAATCCCCCCCTTGCTCTACTTCCCCTACCCTCACTACCAAAAGAACATAGGTTGGGTTTGTGTGTGGAGAAGGTTAGCAAGGGAACCTAGGGGATGTCCTTGGGGTTTACATGGCTGCTTTCCAAAGACTGTTTCAGACACTCACTGTGAATAACTCACTGCAGCTGTGAACAGCTCACTGCAACTAACTCTTGACTTCTGTCCCCCTTCCTTGTGTCAGGAGAATATCTGATGCTCAGCCACAGGATCGTAGGATTTAACCCGTATTGCACGTTGTGTCCATCTTCCACTGCATGGGTGTGTGTTCTCTTGCTTTGCTTCTTAGCTTTAAATTCTTCCTTGTTTTGTGAGGCATCTTAGCATGAGGGATCAGTGATCAGACAGTTTAGTTCTCCCATGTACTTTGTTTCTCTTTGTAGCTCCTCTTTTGGCTGCTTGGTAGCTGCTTCTTGGTGGATGCTTCTCTTTTTTCAGAGGGAGTATTTCTCCTGTGACTCAAGGGTTAGTGATTTCCTGGGCTATATGGAATATGGACTGTTAGTGGTGGGACTATGAAGGCTGGAGAAACTTTTTCAGGACAGTTTCTGAGTAGAGATTTATCTCAGTGGTGCCCTTCTTACACAAGATCTGCAGTATCTGCAGGGATTACACTCATCACTAGTGCTGGAATCCATCTGGGGCTGATTCATCACAAGTGGGGTTACAGTGGCGATTAGAGAACTCAGCCTGGATTGCTCTACTAACCCAGTACTTGGGGTGTTAACAGGAATGGTTTTAATGCAATGCAATTAGCTGCTACGGCTGTCCAGTGAGGTGCTGTTGTATGTTCTTCTAACCTTGGCTATTTCTGTTCACACAGGGTGCCCTGCTGTAGTTCCCTAGCTTGAGGCTGTGGGATGAGCATGGGATGCTCAGCTCAGTTCCTACAGTTTTCCAGCCTGCCATGGTGATACTATCCCAGAACAGGAGTATAATAGAGATTATTCCTGTACTGTGAAAGGGGCTCTTCCTCTCCTTTCTGAAAGGCAGGACATATGTGCCATCATCTCAATTTTCTCTGTGTATTTTCCTTCCCTATCGAAGGCCCTGTAACACAGTAAGAGCCATAATCCTGGCACAGTTCAGGCCAGCAGCAGTATTATACCAGGACTCTCTGCATAGGAGAGAGCTCAGGGATTGTTACACAAGGGAGCAGTACAGAAAAACAAACATAATAAAAGACAGTTTATAAAAATCGAACAAAATACCCTATAGTTCTGAAACAAGTTACTGAGTTAGGCAGCAAGGGGGCAGAGCAGGGCAGGGCCAGGAGGCTGCCAGGTGTCTAGATTATCCATGCCCTTCATTTCTGCCTTCCAAGGGTTTTGAACAAAACAGGACGTTGCTTCCTGTTTTGCTCAAAATTTTGTTCGTTTCTCCAAGGGATGGAGAAACGAACAAAAGTCACATACTCATGCCTTGTATTCTCACTGGAATTAGTAAAGAACAGTGTGACATTAAAGTCATACCAACCCTTCAGGATCCTAGGTGTCAGCACAAACTTCTACCCCGCAGTGTTAGCAAATAAAATCAGTTAAGCCTAAAGACACTCTCCTATGATAACAAGAAAGCATAATTTAATGGTGGTTAACAAATGTTATTAGCTCAATAGCCTTATTAGCCATTAGCTGAAAAGCCATGCTTAGCCAATGTGGAGTTGTCACCTTCTGTATGAGACCCCCTCCCCAGCACTCACCCTCCCCCCTGTGCTAATTGTTTTTGAACAACATCTACCTTTTCTGCATGCCTTGATGCAGGAAGACAAGACTTCTCTCGAGGGGTGACGACAAAGGCTCTCCCAGGGTAGCTGTTGTGCCTTTCTCACTAGGAAGACGATAGTACTAGCACAGAATGAAATATGGCAAGTGGAGTGACAGCAGCTGTGTCTGGAGTGGCCTCAGATCCTATAATTACATCTCCCTTTATTACCTCTGCTAATGGCCCTCCAGGATGACAGAAATGATAATAAATTAACAGATTATGAACTTCACTTGCCACAAATTATGTGACACTTTTTTTTTTTTAAATTCTGGGAGCTCCCACTGCCAAACCACTGAAATAAAAAAAAATAAAAAATCACAAAAAAACCCCACACTGAATGTCATATCAGCTATTGCAAATAAAGCGGGTTTTCTCAACCTGCACCTAGGAAGGAGAAAAATGTGCTAGAGACAGAGGCTCCACTTTTGGGAGCCTAGGGATGGCAGTGGAGTATTCTTCTCCTTTCAGAATCAGACCTGAGCAAAGCAGCAAGAAACAGATCACTAGGTGTGCTTTCTGGATGCTGTGCCATCAAACAGCTCAGGAATGCATAAGGGCTGGATTCTAGCAATTCCTGGGAGCTGTAAGATGGCGAGGCAGTTGAATTTCACAACTAGAGGTTCTCCAGTGTTATAAGACTATAATAGCAAGTCTGTGATTTTGGCCAGGTGAAATTAGTATTTACCTTTCCTGATCTCAGCTTTTATATAGCATGGGAGACCCCAGGTTATATGCTTTTCCCTTGTCTGTGCAGACTGCAGTGATATAGGCACAGTCCTCCTGTCCTTGCATTCTACATGTGTAAATGCTGGAGGAAAAGGGTCCTGATTCTGTCAGACATTTCAAGTCTTGGCACTGCAGCACCCCCTCCCACACACCTGCCTGCCAGAGCTGGAGTCATTTGCTACCCGGGAGTGCTTCTGGCAAGGGGCTTTCCCAGGTGGCTAGGGCAGTTGTAGCTGGCTCTTCTGTTCTCCCTGGCACAGGGTAAAGCATGGTCTCTCCTGTGCAGTTCCCACCTGCCATAACTGTCTTTGGGAAAGAGCAGTTAACAGAGATGCTGGATGTCCAGGCTACTGCTAGGGTTAAGTCAGTTTTTCTATTTTACTCTCTGTGAGCCATGTCTGTCCTGGATCCTATCACTCTACTAGATTACTGTTTCTCATTCTTAAACATTTCCTTGGCAGACTGCAGTGAAGTGATGGCATAACCCCTTTTGTAATCCAGATGGGGAATGAAGATGAAAAAAGGCCACATGCCTGACCCAGAAACTGGACTTAAGGCAGCAGCCTAAATGCTGGGCAGTTCTCAATGGCCAGAGCTTGGAGAGGGGTGACCAAAGGAGAGATTTCAGATGCTAGAGACTGTGACAGTGGCTGTGCTCAGCACCATTAACCCTGTCTCAGGGCTAGTCTCGTCAGTTCCCTGTGCAGCAGGCAGACCTGGGGAGACAGGATCCCAAGCCTCTGATCTGCATCATCCTGCACTTGGACTCAGTCATGAGGGCTGCATTCAGGAGCAGCACAGCACTGACTGCAGGAGGTAAGGGGCAGAGGGGAGAGGCAAAGGACAAGGCACCGTTGAAGTAGTCACAGCCTGAGCAAGGGGTGGGATTCATCAGGTGCAGGGCTACGTAGAACACTGGCTGTGCTGTACAGGAATCAATCTCACAGTCACAGAGCTGGATTTGCAGCTCTTCTCCCCAGTAGCCTGGACTCCTCTTTAGCTGTTCCCTCTGGCACTCCTCCCCAATGGTTTATTGATTCTTCCCTCCCACCCACTGCTCCCCTCAGACCTTGCACACACAACACGTGACAGCTGATTGGTATCTGTTAATTAATGTGGCCTGGGGCCTCTTTTCTATTCAGTGGCCTGATAAGGGAAATTGGATGTCCAAGGGCTGCCAGGCCATTATCACCCTTTGCTTCCCCTGGCAACACAAACACAAAACATGGCGTAGTGATAAATAAATACCACTAACCCACCCTTCTGCCTTCCCTTCCCCAGCTGAGATAGTGCAGATAGAAAAAGAGAACCCACAGTCAGTCAATATAGCAATCATCAGCTCTTTTGTTAATTGTTAACTTGATAACAAGAGAAATCAAATGATCATCATGGTGGCTGGCCACCCAGGCCCAATGTGGGGCCAAGAACTACGAGCAGGGAGGGCCGTGGAATAAAGGACTCCTGCTGAGCCTAGCACATAGCCAGTAGGGCTGGGAGGCTTCTGCACAAAGGCTAATGAGCTCACAGGTCTCTTGGTGAGCCCTGAGGCTTAATGTCTGGGGAGAAAACTGGCAGGGGAGGTTGGTGGAGCATCATTGCCCCCCCCGCCTGAGGGGTGCCTGAGTGTCCCATTCTCTCACAGCCCTGGGAATCTTCAGACTCAAGGAGCTGCCAAAAAGCACAGTCCCTGTCTGTCAGTGGTGGGCAGGAGCTGCCTAGATGGGACCAATGCATTGTGCTGGGCATCCCTGTCTGTAATGGCTGTTGCACAGTGCCCATCTCTCAGGATCTTTCATGGTCTGGCCTTCAAGGGTACCTGGTACAGAGGACAGACACAGCTTTCCTTCCCATGCACTTTCTGTTTTTTTCCTGAAGGCAGACAGTGCTTCTGTGTTTCAGCCTTTCCACTTTCTCAGGTGGGCTCTGGGGTTGTCTGTCTCCAGATGGTGGTTGCTCTGTATTTGAGGGGATGGGTGCTGGTTCTGTTGCCACTAGGTTTGGCTGTGATGTAGGTACTTGTATGGCACCATAAAGGTGTTTTTGACACTGGGTAGGGTTGTTGGCTGTGAGGTGCAGAAATCTGATGGTATGGAGCTCAGGAAGTGATGAGGAATAGAAGAGGATTCTGTTCACAAATGAATTTTGCTTTTGAATACATTTTGGTGCTTTGTTGTGGCAGGACCTGTTCTCATGTAGGCCAAAATGAGAGACTGTGGCATGCTTGTAATTAAGGCCTATGTCATTCCCTCCTATCCTATCAGAAGCCCTCTTTTCTGCCATCTGGAGCTCTTTTCTGCTCTTTGGTCAGCTGGAGCAGACTAAATAGTTGCAGTACAAAACTGCAGAGGAACAGTGAGCAGGGCAGTGTGGTACAGAACAGTTGCTGCTATAGAAGAAGCAGATAATCACTGAAAAGAGGTTATCATTAACCTTGGGTTGCCATAAATGCAGTCAGAGCATCAGAACTCCTGTTTGAGGCTGTGGGTCGGCATGGGAGCAAAGAAAAGGCTAAGGACCACATGTGCTGGTTGCTACAGAGACAGGGTTACTTTAGTAAGGTTTTTTGGGTTTTTTTATTTGAAAGCAGGCCAATGGGGGAGAGCGCTTGGGGTGAATCCCAGGAAAACTAAGGACTCTAGGCTCCTAGAGGCTGCTTTGCTGCACACTCATTTGACCCTGCTTGTCATTTGCCTTGTCAGGATTCTCCAACCTCTCCCTTGGGGACCAGATGAGCCTCCTGCAGAGTGCCTGGATGGAAATCCTCATCCTGGGCATTGTGTACCGCTCCCTGCCATATGAGGACAAGCTTGTCTATGCTGAGGACTACATCATGGATGAAGAGCACTCTCGTCTGACGGGGCTGCTGGAGCTCTACCTGGCCATCTTACAACTGGTGCGCCGCTACAAGAAGCTCAAGGTGGAAAAGGAGGAGTTTGTCACGCTCAAAGCTCTGGCCCTCGCCAACTCAGGTACAGCCCTGGCCCAGCCAGCCTTGCAATCAGGGAGTCAAGGCCCATGCTGTTCTCTGGCCTAGGAGGAAACTGAGCCCACTGCCCGAGACTGTGTTCTGCCTTGTGCCATGCAATGTCCTCAAAACTCCTCTCTGTCCACAGAGCAAGACTGAAGCTGGAGAGCAGGGAGAAATGCGACTTTCTGCTGCTAGAGCCCGAACCGTGCTCTGGTCCCATATTAGGGAGTAGAACCAGGCAGGGGTGGGCTGGCTGCTGGTTTCTGGCATTAAAAGAAAGGCTGTGGAGCCCTTTGCCACTAGCAAGCTGATTCCAGTGCCATGAGTTCGGAATGTGGGATGTGGGCCACACCTGCATCCACTTGAATAGTGTTGGTCAGTTACAGCAAACAGGGAAACCCTGGTCCCAGTTTCAAGTCCCACAAGAAGCTGTGGGGTTGGGGTTACCTGGTCCTCTCCTGGAGATGTTCAGTGGCCACAGACACTGAATCCCCTTTAACTGGGAGACAGCCTGGGTATGGTTGGTAGAAGGTAAAATAAGCTGGCAAATGCCTGATGTTGCCTGTTCTGTTTCTTCTTGTGAAGAGGAGTGAAGAGGATGAGAGAGGCCACAGCCTGTAGCCCAGTGCCTTCCATCTCAGTCTGGGGAGGGCTGCAGCCCTCAATCCAGCAGGCTGTGGGAGACACAATAGGTGCTGTGTGCTGCACTGATGTTGCATAAAAGCCAGACATGTATTTGCTCAGGAGTCCCTTCCAAAAGGGAAACTGCTAAAGCCTACTGTGTGACGAGGGCTCCCTCTACATCCCTTGAGTCTCATTGTCTCACTTCAGATCTTGCTGAACTGCATAGCGCAGGTCCCAGAATTCACCCTTGCAGTCCAACAGTGAGTCCAATGTCTGTGTTTGGCTAGTCACCTTCCAGAAATACAAGCCATATGAAGCTGAAGGGATTAAAAGAGGGGGAAGCTACATCTTCTGTGGCAGCTGACTCTAATAATCGTTGTCTCAGTTTAAAAAAAAAAGGCACCGTATCTTTCATGTCAGTTTGCCTGAGTTCAGCCTTCAGATATCAGTCCTTGTTGAGCTGTGCCCTATGAGCCCAGGTCTTTCTACACCTAGCAGTTCAACACGATAGAATTCCTGTTCCATAGTTGTACTCCTTGGCTATAGATACATTGCTTCAGGTGTAAGCAGGTGGTCCAGAATACTGTGAGGCTGCTGTATCCTCACCATTTGTGGTGACCATCCACACACCCATTGTGTTCCTCTTTGCCATCCATACTTCTTAGCAGCAGCAATTTAAAAGAAAAAAAGAACTCACTTAGAGCTGATTGATAAAAATGTTGAGTAGCATCTGGTTTTTTACTGATCCCTGTGGATTTCCACTAGAAAACTCCTTCTTCAGTGATGATTCACTAGCTACTTTGAGATCTGTCATCTAGCCAGTTACTAATCAATTGAAAGTGTGCTTTATTGATATTGCATAGTGCTAATTTTTTAATGAGAATGTCCTGTGGTGCTAAGCCAAGTGCCTTATAAAAGCCTAAGTCTATTATATCTATGCAGTTAACTTTATCAACCAAACTTGTAATCTCATCAGAGAATGAAATCAGGTTTGTTTGACAAGACCTCTATTCCAAAGTATCCTGTTGACTGGCAGTAGATTCATAGAATCATTTAGGTTGGAAAAGACCTTTAAGATCATTGAGTCCAACCATTAACCTAACACTAAACCATGTCCCTAAGTGCCACATCTACATGTCTTTTAAATGCCATCTTATAAGTCTTAATTGAACTTCTTTCCCCCTTCCTCTTCCTTTATTTTACCCTGGTGTACATCAGGCTGGCATGGAAATTACCAGATAGGACCTAGGAAAGTATGTGCATCATTAGAACATTTCCAGTCATCTTGAATTTCTCAAAAATACCAAGACTTGTTAAACATTGATCTGCCCTAGATGGGCCTCAGCCAGCAGTTTTAGAACTGTTAAAGCCAAGTTATCCATCTCAGCTCATTTCTGAGAAGTTTGTCCCTAACAGATGTCTTAACATCTTTCTGCATAAACAGGCTAAGAAGTCTTCATCATCTTCATATAAAACAGGTACATAATGCTTCTTTTTTTTCTAAACAGGACAGAAATAGATACTCACTGAGGAGTACTGTCTCCTCTGCACTGCTGTTAATAGTTTAAAAATCTCCAGGTGAAAAGAGCCCCCCCCTACAAATGGTAATTTTTCTTCTATTTCTTAAATATTTATAAAATTTCTTTATTGTCCTTAGCCCTTCCAGCCATGGATTTTCCTCCTATGTCCTTCACTTCCCTTATCGATTTTCTACACTTCATAACTTCTGATTCATATAAATTGCTATCTAGTTCCCTTTTTTCAATTTCTCATATATTGCTTTTTTAGGTCTAATTGCTGCCTTCACTTTGCCACTGAACCAGGATGGGCAGATGGCCAAGGCTGGCCTCTCTCAACTGTGGGACAGTGGCTTTTGGCAATGTAATCAACTCTTGTTAAGGAACCTGCCTCCTGTCTACCAGGAAGGTCACAGGATTAAACAGGGAGAAGGGCTCCTCAGAGGGTCTGAAGTGGTTGTGACAGGGTGATAGGATAAGTGCCACATCGGGACACACTGCTCTGAGCAGAGACACTGCAGGATCTGAGCTTTGGTGCTGTCAAGTTCTTCATGGTGCAACAGAAGAACTCTCTGCTGATGTTGTTCACTGTGCTTTCGGGACTAAGCCCAGGGTAAGCCCTATGGGACAGTCTGTATCAGGAGTGGGGAAACACTGAGCAAAACCAGAGCAGAACAACCAACACTCATCAGCTGCTTTGGGGGTTCTGCTTCCAGAGGTGTGAAGTAAAGAAACCAAGGGTCAGGAGGCACAGGCCAAAGCATGTTCTCAGCAGGATGAGAGAAGCATCCTGGCTTCACTGGTTTCTCCTAAGTGCAGCTATGTAGGAGCATAATCCACAAAAATCCTGCTTTATTATTCATATTGAAACATATGAGAGTAAAGCACAAGATCTAGTTTTTCATGTAATTGAAGCCTCTCACAACACACACATAAGGAAGCTAGAATAGGGCAAGTGTATTTTTTTAATGTAACCTTCACATTCTTTTAATGCAAGTTATTTTTCTTAGTGTATTTTTGACATGGAGTAAACTTGCAAAGCCTGCATGTATGTGCTTGCATGCAAACAGCTGATTCCTAAAACGGTAGGAATGAAGACTAGCTCTGGGCCAGGCCTCATCTCCCTTGGGTCAGAGACAGGGTTTAAAGCTGAGCACTTAGATTAGCACCTGTGCTGCCTAGACCTGCTTTCTGCCTTGCCTCCCATATAGATAAATTCCTCAATTTCCCTTATCCCTGCTTGGTGTAATTACTCATGCAACCACGCTTCTAGGGATTTTCCTCTCTTCCATGCAGCCCTGTGTATATTGACCCTTTGGTTCTAGGAATTAAAACAAATTAAACCAGAGGTAGTAGGAGCTTGCTTACTCTTCACTAGAGGAGAACAGTGACAATAAGCCAACCTTGCCAGAGCTGTGGCTGATCTCTGAGTCCTCAGGGTAATGCACCAAGGACACACCTGCTGGGACTGTCAAAGATAATTCTTTAGTAAGTGCATTTTGGAGAGCTGAGAAATGAATTCTTAATGCCTAGAGCAGCATGCAAGTCCCAACAGTATGATCACCCATATTTTGACAGAGTAAGGGTGCTGTAGACTTGTTACCCTTCAGAGCCAGCAGTCCCTTTTCAGGCATTCCTAGGTCCTCTATCCTCAAATTGATCACTCTGTGTATGGAAGAGCCCTCCAGGTTAGCACACAGCACATGTTCATTTAAAGACATCCCAGACTGGCCAAACCTTATTTCTCCTTTTTTTTTTTTTTCTTCTTTCCCTCAATGCATTTTAGTGTAGAGATGGAATGAACAGGGTTTGGATATAGCAAGGGGATGTGTAGCAAATTCTGTGAGGTCCCTGCTCCTTCATCTGCTGCCAGAAGCTGCAAAGAAAAGAATTAGGTGAGGAGGCAGTGGGCCTTGTCAATTCTCATACCTCCCCTGTACCCCATGCCAGCAGTGCTGGAGAGGAACTCCTGACAGGAAGCATGACTTCTAGGCCAGCTGATCCTCAGGGACATGGTCAGGCGGCCTCTCTTCACCTCAGTGCTCTGACAGCTGTAAAAATTCATAGCTATTGATTTTGTAATTAACAGTTTATCAATGCCATCGACACCAGCTCACTGATGGATTGCAAGGAAATTAATCCTGCAATGTTATTTTATTTTTTGCAGTCAGCTGCCAATTTTGAGCTTCTTTCAGCAAAGAGTGGGGGAGTGGGGAAGGCTTTGATCTTAATTTCCCCAGTTCCTCTCCCTGTATACTCCCTAGTTATTTAGTGCTGTTAAGCCTCGTCAGGTGGCAGAAGAGTGTAGTTCTGGGGTTCTGTCTACAGTACATCAGCATCAGTACAGCAGCATCAGTACTCAAAATCAGAGCATGCCCTTTGACCTGAAGCATGGGTTATTGCCTGGTGCTTTTAGCACATTCTGAGAGCTGCAGACTCTGATGGGCTGTGATTACTTCTCCCCCTTGTGTCTCTAGCCAGAAGGACATTAAACAGGCTGGAGAACATTCCTCTCCAAGCTCCAGCTCTTGATGCTTCCAGTCTCCAAAATTACTTTTGCAACTTGGCAGGAAACAGATCCACTCACTTCTGGATGGTGCATGGAAATTTTCCAGAGGTGCTACCTGGCTGGGTGAAGTTGACAGACTGACTTGGCAACATTCTTCATCCTCCCTACTTTTCATCAACCTCTATAGCTAGCTCAGGACACTGTGATGACCTACCAAACCTTGTCTGAGCTTCTTTGCCTGGTCTCTTAGATACAAAAAGCAAATGCAACGAGAACAATCCTTCCTCTGTAGGCTTCTTGGAAATACAAGCTTTTAATATCCTCTAATTAGCTTGTTCCTTCTAAACAGCTTCTTAAACAGCTTTCTTGCTAGACATAATATTTTCCCAACTGTTGTAATACTTTATAAATCATGCATCATAAATAGCATTTACTGTACATGTATCTTATGAAATTCACAGTCTCTAATTTGTGTTGCACTCTCCATAGAGATGACATATATTTCTAGAGAGATTTTGGTGCTTCAGCCAGCTTTCCTCCCCTTCACTGCTGTCACACTGAGGAACCCACATCCTCACATTGCGTTGTGCGTGTGTGGGCTGAGCCAGAGCACTGCCAAACTGCAAAGCCCAGCTGAGTGGCAGATGATGCAACTGCATGTGTGCTTGCCGTCGTGTCCCTTTGATGCTGCTTCTGGATTCGTTGCCCTGTTGCAGGAATCTTTATCAAAGGGTTCAGTATCGATTAAAAGTCTCCGAACAATGAAGACAAGGCAACAGTGTCTCCAGCTCTGTCAGAGTTGTAAGAAAGCAGCAAGTATCAGCAAGATGAAAAGGAGAAAAACCTTCAGTGAGGCTCTGCCTGGTTAGCTTCTCTAATCTAACCTCTCTGCCCTTTGGTGCTGCCTTCTGTCACCATGACTTACCCACAAGTTTAGCAGCTTGTGTTCGACTTGGATTCCCCAGCTTCACCCTGGCCTGAGCCACTACCAGCTACTTTTGCCTCAGAGACACACCAAGGAGCTGTGAGACCCTTGCAAACGCTGCTGGCCCCTCTGGCAGCTTACAGAAATCTAACTGGCAGCCTAAGAGAAGAGGCCTTGCAGGAGGTGCAGGTTTCCTTTACTGAAGCAGGAAGCTCCCTGAGCAGCTGCTGGCAGTCGCTGAAAACAGGGGCATATGCACAAAGGTGGAGCTGGCATCACCCCGGGCATGCTGGTTGTGACCTACTGGGGCTTTTCTGTCTTGCTGACACCCCAAGCAGCTGCACAGCAATTAGGCAGTTTAGACAGATGAAGCGCTATAGCAGTGTTAATTATTCTTAATGAGATTGCTCCCAAGCGGCAGCACAGCAGCTGCTGCCCCTTGCAGGGTGACTCTCCCCATAAGGAGCATGGAGGGCAAGTGAATGTGCAAGTCACAGAGGCCCCCAGCTGACCCCTGCACAGCCTTGGGGTGACTGGCAAAATGGGCAGCACAGAGGGCACAATGTTTCACCTAGCCTGGCAACCTTATTGTCCCTGAACTGCTAGGGCCAACTCATTGGACTGATGCCAAACTTCACAGCAGTAGCACCACCAGCACCTGCCATCAAGGTGTGTTCTTCCCCTTAAGAGACAAAACAAAACAACATACCACCATTCTCCCCTCCACACCCCCCAAAAAAAAACCCAAAACCACCACCACCACCACCACCAACAACAACAACAAAGAAAAGAAAGAAAAGGAAAGAAAGCAAATAAAGCATCTTTAGATTCAGGACCATAAAGGATTTCCTTCCCCATGTCTAACTTGTCTGTTTACTGTCTTTTCTCCCCTCCCCCCAGACTCAATGCACATAGAGGACATGGATGCAGTGCAGAAACTCCAAGACCTTCTTCACGAAGCCCTGCAGGACTACGAGCTGAGTCAGCGCAACGAGGAGCCCCGGCGAGCAGGCAAGCTGCTCCTGACCTTGCCCCTCCTGCGGCAGACGGCCGCCAAAGCTGTGCAGCACTTCTACAGCATCAAACTGCAGGGCAAGGTTCCCATGCATAAACTCTTCCTAGAAATGCTAGAGGCAAAGGTCTGACAGCCCCAGTGCCAGCCGAAAGTGGCCGGGGAACAAACTAGAAACAAAGATTCAGACAACGGAGCAATCCAAACAGCAGCAGCAGCCACCGCCGGCTTTTATCTCCAATCATTTATTATGGAAGAATTATTTAATGTCTATCTGTCGGCGTGACTGCAGAATCTTATGTACAGGAGGGGGGAAACTCTTTTAATCAGTCACCTGTTTCTCTTTTTTTGTTTGTTTGTTTTCTCTGTGGGAAGTACCAGAATATGCTCTTGCACTTGTTGAGGCGGTCGTCGGGGCTCATCCCCTCTGAGCAGTGATGCTCTCAGCACTGTCCAGGCCGCCTGTTCCCCAGCTCCCTTTGGCAGTGCTGGAGGGGGTGTGGGGACAGAAGCAGGAAGAGAGGAAGAATAGAGTCAATATAAACTTTTATCTGCTGGTGTTGTGAGGGGTCAGATAGAAAGGGAAGCAGCCATGGTCCTTTTTTGTCACCTTTCTGGCTCTAACCATAGAGCAGATGATTCTTTGCAGAATAGCACTGCTGGACCTCTCCTGATCAAACAGCTGCCTCCCAGGCTCCTCTAGCGACAGCTAACATTTGTACATACAGGCCCCACTTCTTACTGGGAAAGATGCTCCTAATGTGTAAGATATTCTGCGACCTTGTACAGTGTGTCATTATGCCTGGCTAGTCCCTCCCATGTACAATCCCCGCAGGCCCCTTAAGAGGTAGGACGTATGTCCCTGAGAGAATGCAAGTCTCCTTTCCCAGATGGCAAGGAAAAGAGAAGAAATTGATGTGCTGGGTTGACTTGATAATCTTTGCATCCTCTCCTATGTGGTGCTAACTACAATTCTTCCACACTTTTCACCCTGTAGTGTATCAAACCTGCCTCTTCAGCTCAGCTGAGTGCCATTCCCCACTTGTTCCTTGTGGCAGAGGACACAAGGCTTTGTCTGCATGGTTACTGCCCAAGTATAAATACACCCCAAACCAGGGCTTTCCTAGACTTCATTAAAGTGATAGCTCTTTACCTCCACAGAGACTTAGGCTTACTGCCAAATGCTAGTTAGGAATCAAGGGCACTGCTTTTCAGAGGCAGCTCTTGAGCCTGAGAGATTGCTTTTTTGTGGCAGCCTCGGGAAATAAATTAAGAGGGTGGCACGAAAGCCCCAATATCCCAACTGCTGTCTTCCCCTGCCTCATCCCATTATCCTCAGCAGCAGCAAAAGAGCTAGCATAGATTATACCTGGACCTGGTAAAAGGTCCTCTTGCTGATGGGAAAGCAAATACCTGACCTTGAGGTGGTGGGAGAAGAAGTGGGGCAGTGTTTATTTACTCCTCTCGTGTAACCCCGTTCCTGCTGTCTCCAAGACCTGGTTTAGATCTGCTGCCTAAGCTGCAACTGCTGCATTCTCAGTAGCCAGAGAGGAATGTGAGTGACTGACAAAACTGGCTGTTGGAATTCTCTGAGATTTTTATTTTCTAGGTCACTTAGTTTTGAGCCAGCCTGAGCTGAAACCTGAATGTATTGTCTATGGCATGGCAGTAGAGGTGAGAAAAAGCCTCTTATCTACATTTGAGATACCACAAGCTCTACTGCCTCTGTTCCTCTCAAGCTTCTATCCCTTCCTGACTAGCCCAGGAGAAAGGTGGTGTGGCAGAGGAGTAACTTGCCTCCAGCAGGAAGCCTTCTAAACCAGGGTTAAGGTGTGTGATCAGGCAGACACTGGGTGTTTGTTTTCTCCTGGAGCAGGATGTGTCATAGCAGGGCTGTCAATGCTGCAGAAAAACACCAAGGGTAGCTCAGAGTCTGGGGGCATTAACTGATGCTGACCACTCAGCTCTTGTAGACAGCCAGCTCTTGGTACTTGAGTTAGTTCAGTTCCATCTCCTTTGAGTTTTCCCTACACTACACAGTCATAGCTACTCACACTCATTTTGTACTCATTTGATAAAGGAATTCAGTCTTGCTTCAGGCACATTAGTAAACCAACAGAGACCTAAGGGGCAGAAGGCACATGGAAGCTGGGACTACTTCCATGTTCACAGCAGTAGCAATTGCACAGCAGCCTTGTGCTTTGAACAGATACTTGTGCTTCTCTGCCCAGCTACCTTTAGGAGGGAGCTGGGGAGAAAATGAGAGGCTTTTGATTGTGCTCATAATATCTGTACCCATCTGTGATTGAGGGACAAAAGTGAAATGCACGTCACACTATAGAGCCAGCTTGTCATGTGCTGCACTCTGGCAGCTCTTTCTGGCTGCGGCATATATGCTCTTACAAATGTGCTGGGTTGTGCTATCGCCTGTAAGTTTGACTCGCTTGACCACTCTTGCTTCCCTCCAAGTCCCACCCAGCTCAGCCACAGCACATTGTGTCTCAACCTGGTGTGCAATGGTAGGTGTCCCAATATGGGCTGGAAAGATCCTGAGAAGTCATTCTTATTCTGAAAAAAAAAAAAAAAAAAAAAAAAGGCTCTTCCGGCTTTGTTGTATTTAGACTCAGTGCTGCTTTCCAGAACAGACAGGGACAACTATCTACAGAACATGATTATGGAGAGCTGCTGGATTAGCTTCTAGCCCACAGACTGCTGACTAGAGTAGGGCTTTAGTATGAAGGCAACTCCTGCCTTGATGGAACAATATAAAAGATACCAAATGTATTTTCTTCCAGGACCTTCTTTCTCCATTACAGCTGCATAACCTTGGAGCCCATCTGGAGCCCCCGTTGCTTGAAGATAGTATGCCTGGAAATGTTTGTATTGGTTCTGAAATATGGGAACTGAACCAGACAGTAATTAGCATATATTAATCTCTTTAAGCAAGGAATGCAAACTCTTCCCCAGGAACTGGGACAGAAACACCTGTCTAGATTTAACCATTAAAAGCCTTGTACCATCTTAAATTGGGAACCAGGTTGGGTCTCTTGGGCCCTTCAGACCACTGCAGAAATCACATGCATCTCTTCCCAGTTATTCTGATCAGCTGTGCATCACTAGAACTATCACACTGCCACAACCGAGGAGCGTGTCCAGCTATGCAGTGAGCTGGGCTTGCAGAGAAGTGTAACACCTTAATGTAGTCCTCTCAGCGCACTTTGAAGTAGGAAATGGGGCTGCTTGGGTCTTTGAATGCTCACAGTCTCTTACAAAAAGGTATGGGCATGTGGAAGTTGAGACAAACTAGGAATGGGTTCTGGGTCAGTGCTCTTTATGCTGTTCATTTGTGATATAGGAGTCACAGAGTCAGTGCCATACAGCAGTCCTGCATGGGGCAGAAGATGATGGAGCTTGAGCCTTGGAACACAAATGGGCTCTATGACTTACAGAAAAGCAAAGCAAAGCGGCTGAGGTAAGTGTATCAGTGAAGAAGCATGAAGCCCACATCCGGCAACTATGGTAAAAGCAGCTCCAGACCCTGATTTGCCTGTGCGGATAACAGAAACCACGTACCCATCAGCCACTACAAAAGGCAGTTCTTCCCAAGTGACCAGCTCTTCTATATTGGGCACATTCTTCTCTGGGAACAGCAGTGTCTGGCCTGTAATGCAAAACAAATTTCATGGGGATCAATTAAAAGAAAAGGTAAAATACCACACAGAATTACGTTTCTAGGGAAACTTGGGCATTACACCTGGCAGCAAAACCGTGAAGCTACAAGAAACACCCCCACAATAATCAGAACCTTGCAGTATTGCTCATGCTAAGGGGGCATTATTTTTCTCTTTGTAAGCTAAGTCATCTTTTTTTTTTAAAAAAAAAAAAACTATTACAGATATATAAAGTAAAACATGCTGCACCAGAAAATGTAAGCAGCTGTTAGAGGGGAAAGTCATTGAGAAAGACCCTAGAATGTAACTTGTTCAGCTTTTATTACCAGCTGGAGCTGAGAAAAAGAGCTTCCACTTTGTATCCACAAGCTATAGTCAATCATGGCCAAAGGCCACTCTGTTGTTCTTGTGGCTGGGTAATGTGGAAAAGCCAGAGAGACAGAGGCTGTGAGAATGATGCAAGGAGTTATAGACAGTCAGTGAAATAAACAGTATCTACTTAACTATTATCTGCTCCTAAAAAAAAACCAAACCAACCAACCTGTTAAATAAATTGTATTCTTGTGGTACAGGTCATTTCAAACAAAACAAGAAATAAAACACAGAAATGTAAAAACTAACCCAGACAGAGTAATGTTTATTGTGTTTAGGAGGTGCTCCATTCTGTCCCACAGGATGCACATAGTCCCACAAAAGAGGCATGGAGGGGGGGGGGAGGCATGATTTGTGAATGCTGCACAAGGGGAGGAGAGCACCATACCTCTCACTTAGACATGCTCATTTGGTGTTTTATCATAACCAGAAAAAAAAATTCTCAACAAGCTGCTGAGTTTTTGTAAGATTAGCTTTGCTGAGGATTTGTTAGACAAGCACTGTTGTCAGTCTCTGCCATGGACTGGTGTGGTTCTTCCACTCACCCATTTTCTCCCCACATTCTGCATTTCACTGGTGCAAGAAATAAACATGAGCTAGCAATGAAAAAGCCTTGAAGTTCTTCCAGTGAAAAACAAAATCGCTAATCATAAAATAGGCCGTTGGCTTAAACCCAACAGTGACATCATGAGTGTTGCAAGTGTTACAGCAGCTGTCCAGTGCTTATAAAGTGGGTGCAAGTGCTGAAGTCATGGAGTTTGCATTGATCTGGTGGTCAAGCAGTGCAGGAGGACAAGTTCATGTCTCCTTGAGAAAGTAGAAGGAAATGAGCTATGGTAACTGGGGAAGAGAAATAAGAAACAAGGCCCCCCAGTTTTTTATTCTACCTCTGACTCTTTGAGCACAGACAGCATCACACTCAGTGTAAGTACCACCATCTCCACACACCTCACTTTCAGCAAACACTGCTAAGGTCCTTCCAGGAAACGGCACTCACTGGGATGATGCATCTAAACCAGGCAACCAAATGGCCTCTCAGACTGGCCTCAGGAGGAGGAGGAGGTGACTGAATTAGTGGTGGCCAGGAGGAAAGCCATGGGCTAGAAATGAACTTGAATGAAAACCAAGATAAGCACAGAGCTAGAGGGGGGAGAGAAGCATGTCAAGGTTTTTCTACACTTAGAACAGCTACCCCCCAGCCCTACAGTCACCACCACTCTGATGATGACAGGCTCAGTCTTTGAACCAACACAATTTTTTGCCAAGCTCACACAGGCACTTCACAGCCTCTTCCATAGCCCACCTGCATCAAGCGCTTAGGCCTTCTGAACGTTGTATCCATTCACGGAAGGTTTGGATTTGGCTACTGCAGTAGGACTTTAAAATGGAGTTTACTTTGGGACAAATATAGCACAGGGATGGTCAATCTGTGGCTTTGCAAAAGGCAGAAATTTTAGGTTCTGAAAAGTTTATGTGGCACTAGAGCTGGTGGTGTCAAGACATCAGTAAGGTTAGCCAGAGGACTATGGAGAGCCCATGCCTCACTGGTCTCTTCAAACAGCATTCAAGGGAAATAAGCTTTCCTTGGTGCTTTACCTCTAAAGTGGCAGCTGCCTTCCGTATATTTTCTGGGCACCCTTCTGCTTTGCCTAGGTTTTTCAAGGCTTTCCTTACTTTTTCCTCACTATTGTTTATTCACACTGGAAAGGAAAAAAAAAAAAAAAAAGAGGGGGGGGCGGTTTATATTGAGCACACTGAGCCCTGGGAAAAACTGAGGACATCCTGAAATTTCCTCTTAAAGAGCATCAGAAAATACTGGAAAAATATTCTATTTTCTCTGATTAGAGGTTTCTTTACTAATCAATATTGAGCTCTCTAAACATGTTTCTCTCCCCCAAGTTAAAGGCATGCTTAACTGCTAGGGTATGTTCTTAAGCTATGAATGTTAAAAGGTGATTGCAGTAGTTGTTTGTGGCTACCTGCACACAAAATAAAGTGAAAGCCAACAAGACTTTTCTTTTTCAGGCTAAGGTATCACACCGGGAATCAAACCAAACATTAGCTGATATACAGAAGAATTCAGCATTCAACTTTTCAGTAACAGAAAGCTGGAGAGGTTGTGCTGTGTGTCTGGCTTTCTTTACAAAGATATTCTCTCTCATTGCAACCAATTTGAAATGACACCATGGCAAAACCTGAACACTTGCGCCTAGGGAGTGGGAGAACTAGCCTAGCAGTGTGCTGGGGTGCCTGGAAGAGACAGAGGCTGATAAATGACTAATGCACACGGGGTTTAGAAGCACAAGGATGGTTCAGCAAAACACAACAGCCCTGATCCAAAACACTGCTGCTAGTCAGCCAAAAACAACAGCCTTGCTCCAAAAGAACTGCAACCAGTGAGTCTCTTTATATTAGTGCTAATCAGCTCTGAGAGGCCCATCATGCTTCTGATCTTTGTGTGCTTTTTTCCACAGGGCTTGGGTGAGGCTAGAAAAGTCTTCAGCTCTGGGAGTAATAGATTCCCAATAATTATAAATAGGAGTGAAGTCACAGGAAAGATCGGAACTGGCCAAAGGCTCAAATCATCTTTTGTAAGAAAAACTGAGAAAACAGAAAACAGCTACCATTGACACATCACAGATTTGCTGAAGACTTCAGTGTTTCACCAAGCCCTTCATAAATCTAACCAGTTACATGCTGACTACAGCCAGCTCTTGACAACACACAGCACATGCAAAACCAGCTGTACTGGTTCAGACCACAAACCCATTTAGGCCACTGCCCCCTCTCCACTAAAGTAGCCAGCAGCAGATGACCAGAGAAGAACATAAAAACAGGACAAGGAAGTAAAGTGTCCCAGATATTTAACGATTAAAGACTACCTGGGCTAGAGATGAGTTATTTGCATTTAACACCTCCCAATGACTTTATTTACATTAATTTCTCCAGTCCCATTTTCAACCACAACAAGCATTCAGTCGCCGCAGCACCCTGCAGCGATGAGTTCCATGGATTGCTGTTGAAAGAAGTATCTCCTTTGCCTATTCTGGACATGCCATCAGCTCATCCTATTTCATGCTTCAAGTTAGGAAAACGTGGTAACGAGAAGGGCAAATGACTGCCTTCCACCACTTGATCTTGATGCTTTCAAGACAAGTACAAAAACCTAGTCCCTACCTGAGATACAGATACAGACGTCTCTTTCTGTAGCTATCTACACACAAACATACACACTCATTGCATCTCTCAGTTATGCTTTCATTCACAGAACTAGTGGAGTTCACATTTACTTTCAAAATAGCTCAGAAACAAGATTAGCCTGTTTAAACCATATTTTCCTAACAATAATAGCAATAAGAGATGGAAATTCTTCCTCCTTTACATGGATGGGGCCTTTTCCCCAGTAGATCTTTTTTCTCTTTTTCATTCATCTGAAACAGAGAAACCCAAACCACCTTGGCCTTTCTCTGATATAATCCTTTTATTATAACACAATGAGTGTTTTAAAAACAGAAGATTTTAATGTGTTCCTTGATGTATTGAATTGGAGATTTTCTCAAGATTAATGTACTGTATAAGAGATCTTTTTTCAAATATATTCCTTCCTATTGCATTGTAAGGAACTGATTTCTGTTTAGAAATCCCAGCTTGCTCAACTTAGAAATACCAAACTCTTGCTTTTCTAAATGCTTAAAATCAGCACATTGATCACTCTATAAAAAGTCTCAGAATCAAGTGCATTATTTTGATGAATGAAATTATTATACATTTTGTTCTCTGATTTCAAGAAACTGGCATTACATTTTCAATAAGCTTTATCACACATCCCCGACATAACTGCATTTGTTGAATAATAAAAGGCAGAGCAGTGATCAGATAAGGAGAAGCCAGGACAGAGCAAACTGAAATCATTTTGCCTAAATTGGCAAGAATCAACACAAAACAAGGCTACAAAGAACAAAGCACATAAATCATGTTTTTGAGAGGGTTAATTTACACCATATGCCAATTAAGTCAAGTGCAATACATAAGTTATGAATAATCTCATTGCAGTGGAGTGTTATATTTTGAAGGAAAACGATTTAACTGAAGCCAAAATTATAGTCACCTTCAGTAATTACATTTCCAGCATTGTAAATTCTTTTCCACCGCAACACTGAAAGCAGTCAATGCTGCAAGTAATTGTCTATTACCATTTACATTATTAAACTCAAACACATTAACCAAACTCTTGTTTATATTTTTTGTCAGTGGTTAATGCTACTACAAATCAATGAGCCTTTGGGTCAGTCTTAGGAAGTACAATTTCGTCAGATATTTTTCAATCTAATGAAACCTTGTAACTAAGCCTGGGGTAATCACTTATTTCCCCCACTGGTTTTGTCATCACATCATAAAAATTCAGCAGTGTCATAAGGGACTGATGCTTATGGGACCAACATTAGCACAGGCATCAACTTTTTGGGGTGTTATCCCCAGCTCTTCCACTGCCTTGAGAATTTCTAGCTCAGACTCACCTTGTCTAGCTGCAGAAAATCCTAAATTGCTACTGCCATTTCTGCACATTTCTTCTTTCAGCCACAACTCTATGATTTCTCATTATGAGGCTCCTGCTATGAGCCAGTCTGTTTTCCTTTGCTATATTTTTGCTTCTTCACTACTGTGATAGACTCTCTCCCTCCTGCCTCCCTTCTCCCGTCCTGTTTCTGGCACACTGCCCATGTGGGTAGGGAGGCCACCAGTGAAATTCAGTCTTCTGTGGCAACCTACCACACTTTGCTGCTCCAAACCCCTTGTGGGATTGACTGTTCCAACTCCCTTGAAAACAAGGCCCCATGGCTAACAAACAGCCCACTCACTGTGCTGGATACCTTCCACATGGAAGGGGGGTCACCCCAGTTAACAGTGTTTATTGTTTCCCATTGCTGAGGCTGTGCTAAGATGTGAACTGGCTTTCCAGCCGTGCAAGGAATGTCATGCCACAAAAGTGACACTCACCAAACCAAGAGGAGGGCTACAGGAGGTCATTTGGGCAATGACACTGTTACTGCCATTTGGGCCAGGTTATCCTTCCCCTTCATTCTCAAGCTTATATTTGCAGAGATGGAATGAAGTACAGGCCTGAGACACAGTCCACAGTCAGACTAGATCATGGCACTTTCTGTGAC